TTAATTATTTTTACAGCCAAGCACAAGCACAAGAACCATATTAAATAGTGCTCAACTGCCCTCTTTTTGAAAATACTCTCACAACTATCCCACTTTGTGTAAGCAGCTTCTGTATATACATATATCATCTTACTACTACAAATTAGTAAATCAGAAGAGGATATTATGAAGTAATTATCTTCATATTTTTCATGGAGATTTCACAAAGGGTTCCTTACAGAGTTCTTTGGCATTCTGTCCACCTCCTCGATCTCCTTTTAGAATGGAAAAAAAATAATATTTTCTTCGTTTTAATTTATGTGACGTAGTTTGAAACGATGAGAGTAAAGTGTAAAATTATGGAGGTGGGCATACTGCCAACAGATTTCTGTTGGTTTCTCTTTGCGAAACCCTCGTGATTTATCTATATAACACGTTCTTCATGTTGTTGCTTTGTTTTCCCCCAGATTTTGCGCTGATAATAAGTAGGGTTTTGGAATTTCAGAGGTAGCAAAAAGACAAATCTTCATTATTTGGATTCAGTTTTAGGTCTTTTTTATCTTTTTCTTTTGTTGTCTGTTTTCAGTTCATAGATTGAGTTTAAATAGAGAAGTGAGCATTAATATAGCCGATTCCAACTTATTCCAAATTGAGTAGCAGTTCTTGTTATTGTATCATCCATCTCATGCAATTTCACACTTCAAATGCCTATTTGGAACTCAAAAACCCTAAATTTCATCTCTGGTTACTTTCTTTACTTTCCTATTAATCCTTATATACTTAGGTATTTTGGTATACTAATTCCACAATTTCCTATATATGATTTAAATTTTTTTTTAAAAATAATCAGTTTTAGCTCTTGTTCTGACCATGCTTATTATTGCTTACCCATGAAAAGAAAGTTGCATGTTAAAGGGATCCAGAAAGACAGAGGAGGTTCTCCATGTGGTTATTTATAACTATAAACTAAAGTATATATTTTGCTTATTTCATTACCATTTGACTCAAACATTGAAGTGAAAAGATTTATATTTATGTTTTCAAATGGATGACTTTTATTGAATCCATTTTGTGTATGTATGACACAAAATGAGGAGGGAGTCGAGGGTCTATCGGAAACAGCCTCTCTACGTCAGGGAAGGGGTAAGGTCTGTGTACACACTACCCTTTTTACACACCCACTAGTGGGATTATACTGGGCTGTTGTTTTCTGTATGTTTTTGACAGTCGATCTTTGTTACCACTCCTTTTTACTTGATGTTTAGGTATCTTGCTAACTAGTACTATGAGTTTTTGAGTTATGATTATTGTTATCCATTCAGGTAATTAGTAGTGCCAAAGTGATAGCAAAGAATTATTGTGTAAAATAGTATAGAAAACAAAGAATTATTGTGTAAAATAGTATAGAAAACTTATCTGCTTAGTGTAAATATGTGTAGAAAAAGTATACATGAAAATAGTATAGGTAAGATGAAGATGACACTGGAATTACTAGGGTTTTGTCTTTTGATTCGGTAGTAAAAGTGCAGTGCTGTGAGTTCAGGTTAACCAATTTCAGTATTTTTGACCAAATATATAAATGTATATATGAAAAATTATAAAATGTTAATTAATTATTTTTTGGAGTGAATATCTTTTGCGTTTCCGGTTGGTGATGGAGAAGAAGAGTAGATTGAAGATTGTAAAGGGCAGAGAAATGATTGATGTCTGACATTTTGCCATTAAATTATGGCGAAAGTTCCTTTTTCTACGCTCCTATTAAAGCGGACCAAATGAATTAATACTCTCTGTATATGAATTAATTTGGGAATAAGAATCGAACCTACTTTTCTCTATACACATAGCTGTAAACCTTCTTAATTCTATGGTGTGAATAGTGGTAAAAAAAAAGATTAAAAAAAAAGTTGAAAAAGTTCATCGCAAGGAATTATGGGTATTTTTGTTGTTATTTTTATTATTTTGTTGTTGTTGTTGTTGTTGTTACTGTTTGTTGTTATTGTTTATTTTTTTAATTTTTTCTTGAGCCGAGGGTCTACTGGAAATAGTTTCTTTCCTTATTAAGGAATGAGTAAGGTTTGCGTACATATTACATTTCTCAAATTTCGCTTGTGGGATTATACTAGGTTTATTGTTTTTTTTTTCATTTTATTTGCTCACATTTATTGTTGTTGAGTATTTATTGTTAAAACTGTATCTCTTATTCGTGTTCTGAGAAGCACGATTAGTATTTTCATGCTAATGCTACCTACCATTAAGTCAATTACCACCGCCAAAGTATGTGGTGCAGTGGATGTGACTGCTTCTCTTTAACCAGAGGTCTCGAGTTCGAGTTTCGGGTATGAAAAAATTCTTAGTAGGGAACGCTATCCCCCGAATGTAGCCATAGCCCTATCCGGCGTAAATCCGGATATAGTCGGGGTCCAATACGGATATCGGACACCGGGTGAAAATAAAAAAAAATAAAGTTAATTACCACCACGCTCACTATTTACTTCAGACGAAGCTGTTATGAATAATTTCGGTTCTCTTCATAGAATGTACCTTTTCCCCTATGGTCTATGGCATATTTAATGAATCAATTAGTTTCTAGCAACTCCCTATGGTATTATCTTTGATTTTAATTTTTTCATGATTATGGTTTTAGATGTTTGAGTGGACACAGGAATGTGCAGTACGTTCAGTGTTAATTTTGGTCTGAAAATGAAAGAAAATTCAACAATTATACCAAAGTGGGTTGAAGATTATCGTATGGGTTCAATTCCTTTGCAATATATATGTGGTTCATGTTGTATATTCCGTTATTTGTATGCGTTGGGGAAATTGTTTTAGTATTTTTGTTAATAAAGTTAATTTTGTGTAGGGTCATTAAACTTTATTCAGTATAACTGTATAAGGTTATAAACTTATATTTGTAATCATATGAAAGTAAGTGAATTTTACCTGATATATCAGTGGAATTACAACGCCACATCCTTGTAATTGAAAATAATTTTTGAAGAAAGGGCAGATGTGTTGCAATTTTAAGATTATTTCTTGGAAAAAGAGGTAAACTGTGTTCAACCTTAAACGTTCTTGTTTTTCTGTTTTTTCTAGTACCGTGCGGTTGGGGTATTTTTTTTTTTTCTGGGGGTGGGGTGGGAAGGGGTACAACTACAACAACTAGGGGTGTTCATGATTCGGTTGGATCGATTTTCCCCTAAAAAGAAACCAAACTAAGTAAGTCGGTTATTCAAATATTAGAATTAAATCAAGCCAATTAAGTCGGTGTTTTATCGATTCGGTTTTGTCGGTTTTTTAATTTTTTCGGTTATTTATCGATTTGTTTTTAAATATGAGACATACACTACCAAACACATATTCTGGCGACCACATTTTCAACGTAACACTATCAACCAATTGATCTTTGAGAAATCTATCATTTATCAAGATATATTGATGATAATTGAATCAAATAGTGATGAATAATTTAATTAGTCAATTAAAAGTCGATTGTTTTAAAAATGAAATAAATTCTTGTACTTAGCAGAAGAAAAATATCAATCAAACTAGAATATAAAAGTAAGAATTTGATTATTATAATAGTAAAGAACTAGACTAAAAATACAAATGATTAATATGTAGCATAAAATTTTAGAAACTTTATATAAAAATTCAACACCAAAACCAAATCCAGTGTAAAATAAAACTAAATTTGATCGTTTTTAAAATTCAACACCAAAATCAAACCAAACCTTAAAAATATCGAGTTTTTTGGTCGGTTTGGTTCGATTTTTCGGATTTTTATGGACATCCCAACAACAACAAATTCAGTGTAATTTCACAAGTGACTTAGAGAAGGTTATAGAACCCTACCAAAGTACCTACAACATTACTGGTACTACTTATAACAAGTGAAACTAGTTATTTTACCTTTACTTTTGTCGAGAATGGTAGCATACATAATGTTGGTTTTAACAATATTATTTCTTGTTGAACTTTCTTTTATGAATATTTTTATATCTATTGTAAGGCAGTTAATGGTTTTCTGTCTGCATAAGAAGACCACCTCTACTGTTCGTTTTGATGTCTTGTCTTTATAAATTCATGTCTCATGTTAACAACATTCTAAAATAACAGTTTCTTAAGCTAATAATTCATAATCAAGATTGGAATAGATCTGAATCTTAAAATCATTTCAATACCAGAAAATATGACTTATGACAGCCCACTTAGTCAAATGATGTTTGTGTTCTATCTTTTATCCAAATGAGAAGAATTTTACTCTGCCCAACAGATAAGCAATGATGCTTAAAATCTCCCCCAAGCAAATGTTTCCATTCCATTTCTTTTTAAATTTTGAAATGCCCCCAGCCCCCGCCTCTAAGAACACCAACTAAATTTTCTTTGGCATTTTAAATATCCATTTTATATTTTCGAGAGTTTAGTTGAACAATAATGTCACTAGTTCATTTTCTTTTTCCTTTCAGAAAAATTTAGCCTGTTAAAATTTTGAAATGTCAACTATGCTCGTAGAAGTTTGGATTTTAAAACTCTACTCTTGGCGTCTCTATTTGTTTGACACGATTTGAATAGTTACAAAGTTTGAAGAACAATATAATATTTTAACACAATTTTTGTGTATAATAGTACCCTTCCAGTGGGCATTCTATTAAGTGCAAAGTAGGAAGTTAAATATTAGTTATCCGAATATTTTATTTTGACTAAAATTCTTTTCCTTCGAACAAGAAACAACAAGATGAGCTACGTTATGGACTATGAGCATTGTTGTCAAGTTCTCTGGAGTCATATTTGCTTATTTGCAGAGTTTTCTTGGTTCAAACTTTTGTCTTTTTGACTTGAGCGAATGATTCTTGTGATTATAAAAGGATTATCCACATTACCAACATACCAACAGCGAACAGCACAAAGCATAAACTGGAAAGGAGAAGGTCGTTATATTTGCAGACTTAATGCCACGTCATGAAACTAATACAATAAAAGCTGAAAGAACAATCATAAGTCTTACTTTTATACTCCTTCAGTGTCAAAATTTTACCCACGTGGGTGCTTAGTGGAATAGAAGGTCGAAGTTTAGATGGATATCATACAAGCTCTTTCTAACAGTACACATATATATGTCCAGATACAGAATATACCTTCAAGAAATTATCCCACTACCACATCTTAATCATTTGGTTTTCTCATTATCTAGAAACTTTAAGTACCAGCTATATACCTAAACAGTTAGACTGATGTAACCATTCTCTAAACGCTAATGGCCCCTAATTCTCTAGAACTGCAAATACAAGTGCTTACTAGCCTTGTTGCAAGCACATAAGATACTATGATCATCAAAGTCGTAGTCAATTGTCATTGTAGTCTACGCCTATACTATCACCTTTCTGAGTCCTCAAAAACTTAGTGCTTTGTGTTTCTCAGATCTAAGAACATGTCCAATTGACTGAGGTGTTCTCTTGAGGCTTTCAGCTACTATGTCTGAGGAACTGAGTGCTTTTGGGTAAGACGGAAGAGATATATTTCGGACCAAATTGGAACCAGAAGGAACCTGATTCTGTAGGGAACGTGTGTTATTAAAGAGTCTTTGCTGGTCGAGCATTGTTACTGACTCTTCAGCTGCACGCCGTCTTGTGGCATCATCTACATATAGTAGATCCTCAATCCTTGACATCAAGTTATATGCCAAACTCTCCAACACCCTAGAGTAGCTCTCAAGGATCGAATGTCCCACATCCTGCATACATGAACATGAAAATTGCAGCTCAGATTTTTTGATCCTGATCTTGTAATGCAAAAATTAGACTTGGTCAAAACAAAGGTAAAGCAAATTTAAGATTGCCTTGGATAAAATAAAGTGTGATTCATGCAACATGTTAACGTATGCTAGTACAGCTTTATGTTTGTCCTTCTAGTGACCTTCTATGTCAAACAAAAGGTTGGCACCCGACCACATTAACTATTTTAGGTGGCAATTGTCACCAAAATACTAGCTTTCATTTAGATTGAAGCGGTGAAATTAATCATATTGCTAACATGAGACGAGGCTTTTGAAGCTTCATGCAAACGGTAGTATCAAACTAGAAAATTGTAGCATCAACTTTCAAAGGTCAGCTTTTTGTGATATCTTATTTGGGTCATACTTAGAAGGGTTCTTAAGCCCCACTCAGGCCCCATTTTTGCCAACTTGACCAGTTTCGGAATTCTTTGGTGTCTGCTGTGATCATTTTCTCATTAAGCAGCATTTGATATGTCGAATAAGCAATTCAACTAGGCTGTTCAACCGAGTTTAGTGATCAGTTCACTTACTTGACTTTCAGCCATTAGTGAATAACACTGACTTGAAAAGCAGCAGAACAGTAAAGAGACTCAAGAATATACCCTGTTATACTGAATCTTGTTCATGTCCAATGCAGTTTGAGGAAGGCCAGGGAAATTTAGCTTTAAGTTCCTCAGCAGGTTCTCAGCTCGCTGTGACAAGAGTTGATATCTTTCCTTAAGACCAACAAGCCCCTTTACGGTGCCACCCCAGGAGGACTTTCCAGATTTGGACTGGTTCACGTTCTTTTCACATTTTTGCCGCCAAACATGCATAGCAGCCTCAATCCTGTTCGCAATTTCCAAAGTCGTATGCTCTGATGAGAGGTCCAAGTAATCAAGTAGGCAGTCTGGAGAGAACGGATCAGCAGTAATATATCGGTGGAGGATTTCCCCTAAAGACGCCTTCCCACCCTGAAAGATACAGGCCAAAGATGAATAAAACAAAAGCAACATGTGTAATAGTTTTAGACCGAAGAGAACTATATAACACACTAAAGCAATAACATATTTGGGGGAAAAAATGATAATACAGTTTTTTAAAACCCAAAGGGGCAATAACACAACAAATAAAAGGGACAGACTATGAAGATCAAGTTGGAAGACTCTTTTGTCTTTCTGAAGTATGTTAGATAACGCATGCCTCAAAGACCATATTCAAGATGCTTTCTTTATGTTTATAACAACGACGTACTTTTCATGTCCAAATGAAAAAATAAAAATAAAAATTAAAAAAAAGAAGGAAATCAAAGCTTGAAAAGCCTGTAGAATGAAAAAAGGAGAAAATGGTATATACTGACATAGACAACAGTAGAGCAATAATCCAAATGCATAAAAGTAATTCTAAATTATTTCATTATGTAATATACATCCAGAACTAGTCCAAAGGATACAGAGGAAGTTCAACGCTAAAAGCTTATTAAGACCTAAGCGTGCAGATATCATACTGATTCAGCAGAAAAATCTCGGAACAAAGTTGGCGAGTGGGTGGTATTTAGGCAATCACATTGCACCAAAGTGCCATAGCCTGGACAAATATACTAGGAGCTGATAAATATCTAAGATACAAATCCAAGAGAACAGAAACTGTGGAATTAGCAATCTATATGTTCATTAAGCAACGAAAGCTGTTTGTTTGTCTGATGTGGGAAAATTGGAAATTGAAGGCATGCTTTGCTATGATCACAGGATTCATATAGCCAGACCCCAACTAGTTTGGGACTGAGGCGTATTTCTTGTTACTGTTGTTGCTTTGCTATGATCAGAACCATATAAAAGGATTGGCAGAGAAGAAACTCAGTTGCACCACTGTATCAGCAGAGAAGATGGGTGGAGATAAGAGATTGTACATAATAACCTTGTATTGAACTTACTTGGTGCCTAGCAACTAATGAGTCACTGGTCTTTCTTTAAGATGAATGTACAGGTCCATATAAGTCCAAGTAAAAACATATCTTAGTAATTGATAAAGAAAGAGAAAAAAGTTATGTCAAAGACCAATTACCATTTCAATTTTGAACACTTACCTTTGGCAAGCTCTCCAGGTAAGCTGTTGGTACTTCCATTTCAGATAGTGTGCTGGCATTGATAGCCTGAGCTGCCTTGAAAATTTGATTTGTGCATTCCCTACACTGCCGCAGTCGTTTCCTTGTCTCTTCTGACAAACCTTTTGGTGGGACCTTTGGGAATGGTAGCCACCATTTCTCTTCAAGCCTAATGGAAGGTCTATGAGAGGAGGGGGAACAAGGATATGCTTCAAAATCTTCTCCATCGGCGACAAGTATCCCTCGGTCAACATAATAAAATTCACAACCAGAAAAGGCATCCAACATGCCAATTAGCATTGCATCTAGCTTCTTGAGTGCTGGAAGATTTACATAGAGGTCTGACCGTGGTTGAGTGACCATAATCTCAAAATTCCCACCACCAGGAAACTCTTGCACAGAAGGTACAAGTTCTACTATCGAATCACTGACAGAGACAAGCCATTCCATCTCTCGACGCCACATCGATTTCTTTTGTGGCGCTAATGACTCCAACTTCCAGAGTTCCCCAAAGACAGTGGCTGCAATTGGAAGGAGAGAATATGCACAATGTTAATCCTACAGGAAATTTTGCCGAAGCTCTTCAAATACGAAGTGAAGTGACATACCAGCTAGGTTGGTGATGGCATTCGAGATGGCAAGAGCAGTACAGACTCCCTTTCCTCCTCCAGACATATCTTCTCCTAGCAGCAGTTTAGCAAACCGCTCTTTCATTAATTCAACTTCTGCAATCACAAGAACATCATGCATGGCAATATAATGGAGCTGATGAATTCACACAAAATTATACATAAACATAAATTTATTAGCAAGAACTAAATTACACATAACTGGCACAAAATAGCATCCTTTCTAATCCTTTTCCGCCTAAAAGAACTATCGACAAGCTTATACTAAACCACAAGAAATGACAATAATTGAAGAAAAGTCCTTAACGTCTAGAGCTGACTTAACAAGGGAGAACACCATCAAGAGCAGTCAAAGAATGAACCAAACAAAATGATTGTAAAATACTTCTCTTAAAATAGCAGAGAGGGGAAGATTCTTCAACCTAACTGAACAATAACAAAAACAAGAAACAGTAATATTGAGCCTACAACCCCTTCATGTATTCTCCTCTCCCTAGTCCCTGTAAGGAGTCGAAAGTGAAATAGGAACTGCAACCACTGCTCCTTTGTGAGAATGGATATAGACTAGTAGGTATAGGTGTTTATATCTAAAAAACAGAATTCCCACTATAAAATGTATAGCTTGAGCTGAAAGTAATTAGTTCATCAGCACCTGCCATGACAACGTCTTTATCCTATCCACTACTATAAGTTTATTGCTCAGGCTCAAAGTACATCAATATTTCTCCAGATCAACTCAATTCTCCCGTGGTCGAATATTAATGCCTACTGATTTTTGCTCTATTTGATACCAGTAGCCACTAGGTCTACTTCAATGTGTGTTTAACATACAGAAAGAATACTACGCGTGCCAACTGCCAAAAATTATGTAACGATGAAAAATGTGCTACTGAAAACCATGAAGAGAAACAAACCGTTATCAGTGTTGAATCACATGCTCAATTCAACAAACAAAAACGCCAATATATATATATATATATATATATATATATATATATATATAGGATTAAATTTATATACACCAGTGTAAAGAATTTCATGAGATATTTAATTAGTCGATTATCTGAGTAACTAAATTAGATTTGCTATATATAATTATATGCTGTTGTAAGTTATTATTATCTGAATCGTATAAAAATTAGTACTATAAAGCTAAACTGAGAATATAAAAGAGGCAGCAAACTATGAACCTGATAACTCAGCGGTCTCAAGTTTATCCGGTTTCTCAGCCGGAATGATGACGTGTCTGTGTCCGACAACTGGCAACATAACAGTAGGCGGTTCACCGAAACCGGAATTGGAGTTGAAATGAAGCGTAGAAGAAGACGACAGAGAAGTAGAAGCATCCTGTTGACGGCAAGAGAAAGTACTCGTGCTACTGCAAGTTTCCGACTCGCTGACGTCAGCACTTAGGCTGTAACTATCATCAAAACGCTCGCTCTGTAAATCGAACTCATCGTCGTCGGACGGTAAACTCGCCATTCGCCGGCCGGCGATTAGAGTAAAGGAATTGCTTTAACAACGGGAAAATGTGATTCGTGTGATAACGAAGAATTTATATAATGTAGAATTATTGCAGTTTTGCTATGATTGTGAGGGGAAGAATTATTGAGGAAAGTGGGAAAAAAGCAAAAGTGTTGTGACATAAAAGCAGCTGACACTTTTCTTTTTCACTGCTCACTTAATTAAAATACCACTCAAAATTATAGGTCGTGTTAGTTGCTGCAATCAAAGTGATCACTGTTTGTTTCAGTTTTTTTCAATGTGTATCGCGTTTTTGCACACTCAAACTCTAACGATCACATGTCATAGGACACCTTTTTGTTTGATTCGAGGCGGGGGTCGTCGATTGACTTTATACTGACATCTTAATTTCATAAAAACAATTGAATTTCTTTTTCACCTAAAATAAAATGATAGTTTAATTCAACAAGAAATTTAAGGGGGAAAAAATAATTTTTGAAATTTATGATCTTATATTTTATTTGTGTGACAATAAAATTTTTAAATTTATAATTTAAACATGCTACTAATAACATATGAATAGTTATAAAAGCTTTTCAATAATGTAAAATGAAAAGTTTAATGTTAAATTATTTTAAAATATTTAAATATATTATTCTTTTTAAACAGTCTAATAAAAAATTATATACAAAAATGAAATAGAGGAGTACAATTCATTAAATCTAGATTATTCTACTACCACAAATGGTAGAGAGTTAGATTTCTCCATATTTAACTAAAATATCTCTGGTTCAAGCTTGAAGCAGAGAACCTTTCTGTAGGAAACATTGTACCTTCTTAGTAAGCCTATTTAGTGCGAATTTTGAATTAATTATAGACTTGTAAACTCTGAGTACTTTACTTTTTTATTTGATTACACTAAATTCATTATGCTTAATAAAATTAACTCTTATAAAGAAATAAGTTTAGCATAATGCATAAATAAGTTACTCCAAACTTGGGAATGCTTTTTTATTAAGTATAAATACTTTGATATTAATTTCGATTCTAAATAACCCAACTCTTTTTGTTTTTGTTTTTTCAAAACTACAAATTTATCTCAAATCTGAAATTGATTTTATTTAATACTTATAATAAATATTTATTTTACCATAGCAACTATATAGTACCAGGAGCAGTAAAGTCCGTGCTGCGCACGAGCCCAACATTACAATTAAAATTGTGATAAAAATAAGAAAGTTCTAATATTATACTATTTTAAGTGTTGTTTTCATAGAACATATTGTGTAAAAAATATTAATTTTTAATCAATGTTCTCAAGCATCAAGGGAAACTTCACAAAATATTTAACTGCTTAGGTGTGCTTTGTCTATATTTGCTAATGAATAAGTACTATTTGAAATATCTTTTATGTGTCAACTTTCTCTAGATTGAACATTACATATTATTTGGCGATTCAATAATTTTAGCTAAGTTTTTAGATAGAGTTATTATATTTAAATTTCGAGTATGATATTAAAGATAGTTATAAATAATAAGTGAATGTAAGATATATTTCGAGGAGATATTATTTTTATATTAAAATTAATAACTTACATTAAGTAATTCATCAAATATTTTGAGTACGTTCAAAATTGAAAGAAATCAATAATTACCCAATTCATCATTTTATTGCTAGGTAGTGAAATCATTTGGACATGACCATTCTAAAAAATCATTTGTGTAGCTTAGTTGCTTTAGTATCACAAGTTCACAACTCTATCAAAAGCTTTGACAAATAACACTAATTAGGAACTAATAGATGACTATATTTTTAAGTTTAGTAGTAGACATTTGAATAAATAATTAAGCTTGAGTATATAAAAGTTGATACGATAAAGTATAGAAGCATACTAAATTAAGAATGAATCATCTTTTTCCCTTTTTATTAATTTTGCTTGATGTTATAATTAAGAACTAATGGGTGAAGAGTTAAAACAATGGTAAAGTATTAATAAGTCTTTCAACGGTTACCACCAGGTTCTCGTCATTGTTTTTTCATTTCAAATAAAGTTTAAGGATCTTTCTATTCTTGTTTTTGTTTAAGCTTAGCTTCAAAAATACGGAGCAAATGTTTTATTTCACGTGGAGTAAAATCTCTACATACAACACAACTGGGGCTGGCAATTTGGGCCTTAAAAATGCCTCAAATATTTTCTTTATATACCAAAATGTACGATAGCAATTGAAGTAATAATATATAAAAGCAGGGGCAAAGATATTTTCTATAAAGCAGACATTCAGGGAAATACAACACAAATGAGGCTGACAATATGGGCCCCGAGAATGCCTAAGAAGTTTCAAATATTTACAAAACTTTGTGATGGCAATTGGGGTAATAATATACAAAAGGAGTGGCAAGTATATTTTAGGTAAAGCAGGTGTGTCGACCACCCTGCTTCACCTAGTGCACTCGCACTTCTAATATATAGTAGAATATGAATCCTAGATTAGAAAGAAGGTAGAAGAATTTGAAGCAGAGGCATTAAGTCAAATTTCTTTTATTAGTAGCAAAGTTGATTCATTTCTTACGGGAGTTAAGCTAGCTCCTAGAATTTTGCTATTGAATCGTATTCCCTTCGGTCCAAAATAAGTGATTTTTTCAGATTTCAAGAACAAGTTAATTATTTTTTTTCCCACATTGCCTTTGAAGTAAATAGTTATGGAGTACGCGTTACGAGTGTTTATTTCCAATGCAATTGAATTCTTCCATACGATGAGATTCAGGTTTCCACTTCTCTTACTCTTCAACTATGGAATACTTGTTAGTATAAAAATGGAGAGGCAATAGTATTTGTGTCAACATTGAGATTAGGCACTTGTTCCCTACCAACATACTCATTCTCATATTCAAAAGGAATGTTTAGATCTATGTTATGTGATGAGATTTGATTATTTTGTGTTGTAGCCATGCTTATTTCATCATTTTAGAAAATTAAACCTTCTTTTATAAGAGAATTCTTGGTGGGAAATTGAAATTTTTTGGCTCCATTTTATATTTTGTTGATGTTTTAAAATAGAAATATATGACAAATTGAGATTCTAGCTGAAAAGTTGAAATCACAAAGTTTTCAATGTTCTGCCAATGCTTCGTCTGCCATTTGCTCCATTCAGTGTTTAATGAGAGTTGATAATAATCACGTCCCAAATCCCAATATGGCATTATGTCAAATATAAGAGATAGTAAAGCATAATATGATAAATTTTATTGCTAATTAATATTAAAAGGTGAATTTCTTAATTTGTGTGAAAACAGTTAAAAAATTACTTATTTTGGATCGGAAGGAATACTAATTTGGACGTGGATGTCACTTAACACAAAGGATCACAAGAATCACTTGTGGATATTGATACATTGAGTTAACACGAGTTTCGAATCAATAATGCATTGAATATTGATAACCCAATATTCATAAGGTATTATTTATACTATTGTTTTACAGACAAAGGCATGTAAAAACATTATTCACAAGAAAATGTAAAAAGAAATAAGGGAATCAACACTCATAGTTACTCCATACAATATGATAAGAAACATAATATCATGAACTCAACAAAGTTTAGAGAAAAGAAAAATGACCGTAATTACTACAATTACAATATAATATCAAACCTCTCTATAACAACCTCATTAATTTGTTTCGATATTCTTTGACTGTTATAGTGAAATGTTATAGAAAACATATGTTATAACATAACATAAAAATCAATTTTAAGAAAGAAAAAAAAGGTTTTTATAGTGAATGACTGATATATATGAATGTTGTTATAGAGATGTCTGATTATATATCAACCGATTTACCTCACACAAAGTAAAGATAAGGTCGGCGTACACTTTATCCTCCTCGGATCCCACTGGATATGTTATTGTGTTAATCGGTGCAGTCTGCAGTGTTGTCGAAGGTTTTGACATTAATGACAAGGGCTAGATTTTTTGTTGCAATATTTGTATCTACCAAAGTAGGGGAATTAATTTAGTTTGGTGATTGTCTCCTTCCCTTTGGAGACTCGGTCAGTTATTCGTATTGGCATAAGCCAGCGCCAATTAAGAACCCTGTCGTCCACGGTTTAATACTCATCAATGTGTGCGACCTACACCAACAAGATTATATTAATGAAATATCATTTCTTCTTTATACAAAAATTTAATTTAGCGCAATAAAGTACAGCACGTCTATTAAACTATAGGAGTATCCAATTATTTATTGTTGAGTATGTATACAGGTGAAACTGAGCCTAGCGAACATCCCGATTTTCCGGGGAGGCAAACGGAGCAGGGACGTGGATGTTAAGAATCAGAATCAGAGCGAGGAGCCTCTCGTATTAGGGTCCGAGCAAAACACCTGCACTCGGAACCATCAGGACCACGTCCTTCGGGTCCGTTTCGGGTCCCAAGACCTCGAAGAGCATTACCAAACAACCACACACGACTAACAAAGGGATGTGATTGCCCAACCGGATATCACGGCTTGAATCTCGGCCTGTATCGGCAAAAAAATAGTGATTAGTGAAAAAAAAAGATTTTTACCTTTCTTAGAATTGTACATAGGGTAAAACTCCCCTACTATATAAAGGGGAAGCTTATTATTCATTAGGGACATTGTAACACGCATACCAAGGCAATATATTTCTATTCTCTCTGTTTCTAAAAGTTATTCAAAATTCTTGTTTTTGTTCATAAGTTCTTCATAAGTGCAAGCTAGGAACCGAAGGTGGGTTCCTCGTTAAGCTATTAACCGAGCTCGGACTCACTCTTATCATTGGTTTGGCCATTCATTACGTCTTTTATTTACGGGTGATCTTTAAAATATTACAAGCTCAACAGGCGACGATAGTGCAGCTCCAGAACTAAAGCCGCGCCCCCAGCAGAGTTGAGCCCGAACCGTCCGGAAAAACACCCGAAGAAATGAACAAACCACAGAAAAGCCGGGTGAATTTGAACCCGGGACCAACCCTGAAATAATAAAGATGCTTGAGGAACTGACAAAATGGGTGGAATCAGGGAAAAAGAAAATCGAAGCCAACGACAAAAAAGTAGAGGCCTATAACTCCAGAGTTGATCAAATCCTAGGAGCACTTACGATATTGAAAGGCCTGAATTCTAAGAAATATGTCCAAAAGCCTTTCCCTCCTAGCGCGACACCGAAACCAATCCCGAAGAAGTTCCGTATGCCCGAAATTCCAATGTATAACGGAACCACGGATCTAAATGAACACGTGACCTCCTACACATGTGCC